AACGCATATACTACATACACCACGTCATACACATCACACCCATATACTGCACACCCCGCATCACTCCCGTACAGACAGCAGACCATATTTGACACCGGACAAGACAAGACAGCGAGACCAGGAACAACAACGGATGTAAATAATAAGCGAATCGAATTTCGTAACACAGCCTCCCCTAACGGGAGGAGTCGACCACGACTCCTTACAAAGAATAGGGATTACTATTGTGAATTATGAATTAGGGTTTATAAAATGTGTAGGTCGTCCTCGACCATGACCTCAATGAGAGGTGTCATGGTGGTCCGGTGGTTCGGTGTTTGCTTGTAGTTGTAGTCTTCTCGGTATCTGGTCCCTTCCTGTCCGGTGATGCTGTAGATCATGCTGGCTGGGTCCCGGAATGCTCGAGCCCTCGGAATAGGAAAAGATAAGAGAGGCAGAGCATGGCAGTAACAATTCCGTTAGCCTTAGGTAACTTTACTAGAAAGACGACTGCCGACCCTGGCAGAATGCGGAAAACAATAATCGTAAATCATAGTCGTAATACAAATAATGTTACAAAAAGATGTTGATGCCGGCTCTGCGCCGAGGTTGTTTGCTTCACTGACCGATTGACCGCCTGCTGTATTCTGCTGGTTCTGATCTGTACATGATCTACACTGCGCCTCTCTATCAAACTGGCAAGACAACCAAGGGACCCACTCATCGTGCTCAGACTCTGCACGGTCCCCGACGACTGCCGCCCGCTCATCACTCTCCTCCCGTCGTCTTGTTTTTGTTTTTTTTTATGTGCAAAAATGGTGGTCAAGGTACGGGAAGGCACGCATTGCCCCCCCCCCGGATGTGTCGAATGCATTGTGGATAGTTATCATGGCGAAAAACTCATAATACCCGTTGTCATCCAAAACCGAGTGTAAAGAAATATCGGCCGAAACCCTCAATGCAAATGTATGTGTAAGTGTATGTATATCTACTTGTGTTTTCCTTTACTTGTGTCCATGCCTTCCGTGGAGCTTCTTGTTAGCGACACAACGCGTCCGTTGTCAGGTTCTCCAGAAGTGCACGCACTTTTCTGATGTCAGACAATCCTGTCGTCCCACGACGCTGTCGTCCCACGACGCTGTCGTCCCACGACATATATTCTCTTTTTTTTTTTTTTTTTTCAACATTCAGCAATGTGGAGTTCTACACTGAACCTGGCAGCCGTCGATCCTCTGTCTGAGGCTGGATACGGAGTCTGAAACTGTACCAAGTCGTCCAAAAATTAACAATAAACTGTGCGATTGATCCGTCGTGAGGTTTTGTTTGTCCTCACTGATTGCTCATACACTGCGCCTTCATAACATCTGAATGGACACGGCAGTAGGTGAAGCACGGTCTACCCCGTGAGACGGAGGGGAGGGCTATGCAAAGGAGAGGGTTATGTTACGAATTTATATTATGACTATGATTTACAATTGTGCACGCGAGTACGGTGTGGATACTCTACTGGACACTGACGGCATGACTCTACTCGACTTCGCCCCGTCACATGTTGGGAGACAGCGGTCGTTCGTCGGGCGCACAACCACCCGGTGAGTCAATCCCCGTTATGGCTTTCGCCGGAACGGAGGGCTATGTTACGGATTTCGTCTCGTATTGACTTAGTTTGTCCCGGGCCGTTGTCCGGAATGTAACCGAGCATAAAACCCAACTGGGCGGTGCGCACCTTCCCGACGCGGGCGTGATGCTGTGTTGGCCGGTGTAGGCTGATTAACGGTAAATGGTGCCGGCACCGATTCTTCTACTGGTGTGGATTGAGAAACAGGGGGAGCTGCCGGGGCTAATGTCACTGTCCCCCGGACGGGTTTAATCCTGTCTACATGTACCGAGGTCGACCGCATGTGTCGCGGTGAGGGGAGGGGACCCACCCGAGTTAGGTCAACTGTGGTACCCGTGATGCCCTTAATCTGCCAAGGTCCCGTCCAGTACCGATGTAATTTAGGAGAGACCCCTCTGGGGGGTGGGGCATGTAACCAGACATAAGAGTTAATGACATATACCGGCACTTTACACTTGCTGTCGTACACCGTTTTAGCAACTTTGTGTCTGTGGTTTAACCGTTGGCGGACCAAAAGAAAACATTCGGCGAGACGTAAGCGAAGATCGCGAACAAAGAGAGCAACGTTTGGTTCGTTATCCCGAGGGATAGGAAAAATAAGGTGCAGCGGAAGGCGGAGTTCGCGACCAAACATAAGAAACGCGGGTGTAAATCCTGTAACGGTGTGAACAGAAGAGTTGTAAGCCAATTGAACCAGAGGGAGAAATTCGTCCCACCGAGGGACATCGTTCAGGTGAGAGATAAAGGTTTTCAATGAGGCTTTGATAGTCCTGTTAGCTCTCTCTACTAGGCCGTCGCTCTGCGGTCGGTAGGGAGTGGTTTTCGTCTTTTTGATGTTTAACAATGTACATAGGTCCCGAATCAGAGCATTTTCGAAGCTTAACCCCTGGTCTGTATGGATTGAGTATGGGACGCCAAGGACACACACCAATTTATTGATAAGAGCACGGGCCACGGTACCGCTGGTCTGGTCGGGTATACCAATGATTGTGAGCCACTTCGTAAAATAATCTCCGATGACAAGTACATATTGATTTCCGCTTTTAGAAAGTGGGAATGGGCCCATAATGTCCATAGCAATAACCTCTAGAGGGAAACCCACTTTAATGGTGCCAAGTGGCGCTTTGTTCTTTCGAGTTGGAAACTTGGAAACTTCGCATTCTGGACAAATTTCGCAAAAAAGGCGTACCTCGGTTGATAAGCCAGGCCAGTAAAAGAAATCGCGGAGACGTTGTAGAGTACGTTCTGTGCCAAAGTGACCCGCCGTAGGATTTGCGTGAGCGAGTTCTAGCACCATGGGTCTCAGGGCGGTGGGCACAACTAATTGGCGGCCCGAACGACCGGGTAGCTGACGATAGAGAGTGTGATTCTCGACTGCAAGAGACGACGCCTGGTTGAGAAGAACTTTAACGGGATAGGGGTCCCCTGGTAACGCCTCCTCTTGAGCCTGCAGTCTTTCTATCACTAGGTTTAGGTGTGGGTCTGTTTGTGTGTTTTGTTTGACCTGTGCTGGATCGACTGTGGTAATAAAATTAACCGTTGCTGGACTAGATGGCGGATCGTCGGCGCGAGAGAGACCGTCGGCGTTTAGGTGGCGGGCCCCCGGGCGGTGTTCGATAGCAAAATTAAACTCAGCTAGAATTTGCTGCCAACGTGCAAGTTGTCCGGACGGGTCTTTAAACGAGAGCAGCCATTTCAAACTACTATGGTCTGTACGCAGCAAAAATGGTTGAGAAATCAGGTATACTTTAAAGTGGGGTAAAGCCCACACCACTGCCAACAGCTCCCGTCTAGTGACGGAGTAGTTTCGTTCAGCCGGGTTAAGACTGCGGCTGGCGAATGCAATAGGATGTTCTTTACCATCGGGCCCCACTTGGGACAAAACCGCACCCAGGCCTGTATTGGATGCATCCGTGTCAATGAGGAAAGGTTGAGTAAAATCCGGAAATGCCAATACCGGTGCTTTTGTGAGGGCGTTGCAGAGTGTCTGAAAAGCAGTGTCTTGAGGGCCGGACCAGTGGAATGTGGCATCTTTTTTGCAAAGAGAATTGAGTGGCGCCGCAATGGAACTAAAGTTGGGAACAAAACGGCGGTAGTAACCGGCGAATCCTAGAAAAGTTTGCAGAGCCGTAAGCGTCGTTGGTGTCTTCCAGTTCATGACAGCCTCAATTTTGCGGGGATCAGCATGTAAGCCAGACTTAGAAACGACGAACCCTAGGAAGGCGACCTCTTGTTTAAGGAACTGGCACTTAGATGGTTTCACTTTTAGACCTGCCGTCTGTAAGGCACTCAAGACCGTCTCTAGTTGCGTGATGTGATCCGAAAAAGACTTCGAAAAAATGATGATATCGTCCAAATATACGAGGCAGAAAATGGGCGACAACCCCCGTAAGACCGCATTCATTAACCTTTGAAACGTGGCTGGGGCGTTTGATAACCCGAACGGCATGCGAGTGAACTGATAAAGTCCGTGTGGCGTTACAAATGCTGACTTGTGTTTGTCCTCTGGATTAAGGGGAACTTGCCAATACCCCGATTGTAGGTCTAGGGTGGAAAAGAATTCTGCCCCCCCAAGGTGATCCATGGTGGCATCAATATTAGGTAAAGGAAAAGCGTCCGCGGTGGTTAATTTGTTAAGTTTCCGATAATCCACACAAAAACGAAAAGAGTCATCAGGTTTTCGAACTAAGACAATGGGACTGGCCCATGGTGACATGCTTGGTTCCACTACACCTGTGTTGAGCATATCTGTAACCAGCGTCTGTACGATTTCTGCCCTGGTCTCGCTGTCTTGTCTTGTCCGGTGTCAAATGGTGGTCAAGGTACGGGAAGGCACGCATTGCCCCCCCCCGGATGTGTCGAATGCATTGTGGATAGTTATCATGGCGAAAAACTCATAATACCCGTTGTCATCCAAAACCGAGTGTAAAGAAATATCGGCCGAAACCCTCAATGCAAATGTATGTGTAAGTGTATGTATATCTACTTGTGTTTTCCTTTACTTGTGTCCATGCCTTCCGTGGAGCTTCTTGTTAGCGACACAACGCGTCCGTTGTCAGGTTCTCCAGAAGTGCACGCACTTTTCTGATGTCAGACAATCCTGTCGTCCCACGACGCTGTCGTCCCACGACGCTGTCGTCCCACGACGCTGTCGTCCCACGACATATATTCTCTTTTTTTTTTTTTTTTTCAACATTCAGCAATGTGGAGTTCTACACTGAACCTGGCAGCCGTCGATCCTCTGTCTGAGGCTGGATACGGAGTCTGAAACTGTACCAAGTCGTCCAAAAATTAACAATAAACTGTGCGATTGATCCGTCATTACTGTTGGTTGTTTATTATTTCGTGGTCTTTCTTCCCCGCTCGCTTCGCCATCAGTTCTGGTTTTGATAAAGTATTCTTGGAGCCGACAAATGAGTCAACGAACCGTTGTGTGGTGTGAAGGTAAAGGGGTGGGGAGAAATTCCGTAACAGTGGCGCCCAACGTGGGGCTCGAACCCACGACCCTGAGATTAAGAGTCTCATGCTCTACCGACTGAGCTAGCCGGGCTGGGACGACAGGAGAAGGTAAAGGGGTGGGGAGAAATTCCTCCTGGTCCGACCATCCCAATGGAAGATCTAGATACACAACCCGGACTGACCATGGGGGCACAGAGAGCAACGAGGAGGAACAAAGAGTAGTGAATTCCGGAGGTTGGCCCTGCGGGTCGGGTCGGTGGTTACCACACTGAGGCCACAGTTGGGGACAACCCCATGTCCCTTTGAGGGTAAACGCCGCTATGAACAAACTGCCCAGGACAACCTGGAAAAGGGAGGTGATGGCGTGGAGACGTGGGAGGGAAAACCAAGTACCAATCCCATCCAAAATGCTTAACCCCAGGATAGCGAGTAAGCCTAAGAGAAACACGACCCCAGACCAAGTATGTTGAAACCAAGAGGTGGAGCCGATATTTGCAGTGTAACGAGAAGACAAGATCGGGGTGGATTCTGGCCCCATGACAAGAGTGGGCGACGGATCCATAGAAATAGATATCTTATGTTTCCTCAACAGATCAGCGCCTAGTAGGCATGATTCTCGTAAATCGTCAACTACGATCACTGGTCCCTCAAACCGGAGAGACCCCAGCTGAAACATCCCAGTCACCACTCCTAAAGAAGTTATTGATGTACCATTAGCACTATACAAGGCCCCAACGCCAATGGAGCTAGTGGGACGCAAAGATGATCGAACATGGGAGGGTACAACAGAGGAATCGATTAATGTGACACTAGCCCCCGAATCTACCAGGACCGTCAGTGGAACAGTGGTATCGGCAAAAGTGATCTTACCGGAGCAATACATGGCCGTGCTGACCGGGCAAACCCCAGCCGTCGTTACGGTGGCGGTTGGATCGGGCTCGTTGGAAGGAGGCAGGGCCGTATACTCCGGTGCACGGTCGAGCGGGACCCCTGGGGAGGAAAGAACGGAAGAGGAAAACGCAACAGCCTGAGGTACGGTACAAACATGTGCATCATCTGACCCTTGAATAAGAGTGTTCTCGGCAACGGGCGGGTCTAACGCTGCCGGGGCCCGTTTAAATGTTGACCCTGTGATGAATAGCTGTGCGGAGGTTGAGGAGCAGATGAACCATACGCCTGTGAATTACGTTGTGACATTTCATATTTGAATTTCCTACAGTCTCGTTTGAAGTGACCCGTTATTCCACAATGAAAGCAAGCAGGAGGACGTGGTGGTCTAGTTGGTTCAGCCCGTGTTAGGGTATGGACAGCGGCGGCCAAGTCAGCTACAGTGGCCTTCAAATCAGCTATCTCAGTTGAAGCGGGGGCAGCCACGTTCAGAACCCCTTGGCTTAGTTCTAAAGAAGATGCATTACTCCTAGCTTCGAGCACAACGGCCTTACGCACAGCGGCATCAATATTGACAGGCTCAAAATCGGCTACCCTATTGCCCAAGGTGGGTTCCAATGCATCCAAGAAAGCCCTAGTGGCAACAGCCCCCAACACATCACGAGAGGCCCCCGGAAAGGCACGGGCGGCTAAAATGGAGATGGCATCACCCAGTTCTGGAATCGACTCACCGGGTGTCCTTCGTCTGGCCTGGAGCTCCGCTTGGCGTACTGCCTCCTTTCCTTTATCTCCGAAGCGGGCCACTAAGGCTGCTCGCAGCTTGACAGGATCGTCACGGTCTTCGTCCGATAAGGATTCAAGGACAAGAGCCGCCGGTCCCTGTAGTCCGCGTTGTAGCAGAAAGATACGCATTTGGTCGAGTCTAGTTCGGTTAGGGTCTGCTTCTCCCTCGGCTGGAGGGGCGACGTAGCCGTTGGTCTTCAAGCAGGAATCATAATCTCGCAGGTAAGCCGCCAGGCTTTCCTCTGGGCGTCCATGGAACGGGCGTGGAAGCAACCATCTGCCAGGCTCCGTCATGATGACGAACTAAGTGGGAGGAAGGAGAAGCAAAGGAAACGGCAAAACGCAAAGGGACTCCCCAAGGCCAAGCCTTGGTCAAAAAAAGAAGAAACCAAAGAAATCGCGGCGGCGAAAAAAAGCAAAGAAACAACGCGAAGAGAAAAAAACAGAACGAGGCAAGCAAGGCACACTTACGAGAGGAGTAGTTCCGTCCCTTTGGTAGGTCGCTCGTAGTAAGTTGTGGAACTCGAGTCCACGTCGGGCGCCACTGTTACGGAATTTCTCCCCACCCCTTTACCTTCACACCACACAACGGTTCGTTGACTCATTTGTCGGCTCCAAGAATACTTTATCAAAACCAGAACTGATGGCGAAGCGAGCGGGGAAGAAAGACCACGAAATAATAAACAACCAACAGTAATAAACAGAGAAACGGCGAACACATCGAAACGACCAATGAGCGACCAGTACGTACGATACATGTGACTAGAACCAAGACAACAACATCGTGGACGAATCACACCACTCCCTCACACCCGAACTCGACTCGCACAGCGCATGCTCCACATAATCCACGCATGCGCGACAACTAGTTAGACAAACGCACTCACTCAGGCAGAAGCAGATCCACACTCTCTGACAACGCATATACTACATACACCACGTCATACACATCACACCCATATACTGCACACCCCGCATCACTCCCGTACAGACAGCAGACCATATTTGACACCGGACAAGACAAGACAGCGAGACCAGGAACAACAACGGATGTAAATAATAAGCGAATCGAATTTCGTAACACTTATAATAATAATTATTAGGCCAAACTAAAGAAGGTGTGTGGTTCGACTCACCCGACCGACCGTACAATTTCAGCCCGACCGTAACTTTTTTTCGGCGGGCTGTCGTGTGACTGACGTACGTGGACTGAACACGTCCACGTCTACGTGCTGTGCGGCGTGAGTCTGCGGACGCAGGCGGCTCCTTTTGGACTTGACTTGTAGTTGTACTGCAGTGCAGTGCAGTGAGTGGTACGACTGCTGCCTTGTGCTGGTAGTAGAGTCTACTCGATACGCGTATACAGTGTATTTACATGTACTAAAAATATATATTAAAAAAAAAAAATCCGCCCGCCCGCCCGTAAAAAAAATGTCCATGTTAGTCGAACCACACACGTACACCTTCTTTAGTTTGGCCTTATAAGTTATAATCAGGAGTAGCACAATACTCCCTGCTTATAATGGAGACTGAGCACTTCATTTTTTGAATGCCGCCCCAATTATTGGAGACGTGCTATTATTGGAGACTGTGCTTATATTAGAGATAATACGGTACCTGTTTATGATTGACCTTATAGCTTACTTTAGTGAGTATCGCCGACCGAAAATGATAGCACAGAAGTGCTAGTCAGAAAGGCAGCCAGTCGTCTGTGAACATATCGAGTTTTACGTACATGCCGGCATCAGCAAAATTACTTCGACAGTGACATGCTGACGATATGGAGTGGGGAGGAGCAGCTGCTGCTTTGATGACTGTATGGAAGCCCTGTCGAGTAATAGCGCTAGCGTGTCAAGCTCGTATACTTATAGTTCAATTACAGTAGACTAGTTCCAGTTCTTCCTAGCCCTATAAATTAATATAATGCGAATGAATGATGAGTGAATGAATACGATCATGAATGAATGAGTAACAGTTAGCAGCCCGATCATTATGTTGGTCTCAGCTGTGTACCTTCACCGGCGCTGCTGTGGTACAAGACTGTGGCTACAGTTATCAGTGTGCATCTTTCTGTTCGTCATCTGGCTGCCCACGGCGGTAATTTATTTCCGTCCACTCCAACGCCGCGTCCCACTGCTTGGTGGCTTCGGATTCTATTCTGCCAACCAGAGTCAGGGTGTAGGTGCCGCCGGTGGTCTCCGCATGCTGCAGTCCGCTAATGGTGCGAGTTGGGACTGTCCAATGAAGCAGCTACCTCTGGGATTGAAAGCACCGTGCTCATCAATGGCTATATCTCCTGCCACGTTCCTCTATATAGTGATGGGCGATGGTTTCCCAAAGGAGTCGTGGATGAACCGGTCGGAATGGGAGAATGTATCATTGTTGTATACATCTTGGAAGGTTGATGTCACCGCTAAGTTACAACCCAGATTAGGAGAGACTTTCCGAAGCACGTTTTATCCCAATTCCACGTGGACAACAGGCCGTAACCACCAACTGCAAGAGGCTTACCAATGGGAAATGGATCAAGGATGGAAGTTTGAGTTCTTTATCTTCTTTGATGAAGATGTGTTTCTAAGCTATCGCCAGAAGGACGATCCACATATGGTCATTGTTGAGGACAATGATGATTATCCAATGCACCTGTTCAATCAGCTGTTAATCCGAGATCGACCAATGCGGGCAGGGATTGTATTCAATAATGACCCTGGCAATCAGGACCCATTCAATTGGACACTGCGCAATTTCCCGTGTGTTCGCCGATGCCAAATCGACAACCTTGTATTTGCCGTCCATCGCACCAGTGTGGAATTCCTGCTGCCGTACAGTGCGAAGTTTGATAATGCTACCTGGTGGGCATCAGCCGGAATTTCAAATCTACTTGCATCATCTCTTGTGCCTGACCTTTGCAACCAGTATCGAGAAGTGCTGGTTGAGGTGGGCCCGCGACAGCAACACCGAAACTACCCGCGCGATATGAAAGTATTTTATAATACATATTCGTTTACGGCAGCCTGCCTCAACGCCAGCAACTACGCTGACCACCGCACCGCTGACCCGAAGGTTGTCTGGGAAAGGACTATGCTGGGCACCGGTGTAGCTGTTCCTGAAATTCGTGAAAAACAATGCGTCCGGCATCCTGCTGGTGTAGACTTTGCAAGACTTCTCGTTGGAAACTTGACCAACTGGCCAGTTGTGTGCGTGTAGTGCGCCTTGTGTACTACCACCGTCTCGATGAAATTGCACTGACTGCCATGCCTAGCCAGGTTCATGAGTACAGCCAGCTCGCAAGAAGTCATACAATGTTATCCCCAGGACTCCAGCACGATCTAGAGCGAGAACACTGTGCATGTAGTTGCAACAGTATGCGCCTCAGCTTTGCTGTTGTGTTTCATGGCTTTGAGACCCTTTTCCATGCTGGCTTATTAAAGCTTCCAATACAGTCAGTATCGCCTATAGCGTTGGTGTTTGAATCTGAGCATTTTATCGCTATAAGCGATATATTACTATGACCGATACTGCATGCAATATACGACTCAGCGCGCCGTGCACATACGCACTACACACATGTACAATGTCATGTAGCTGGCTGTAGCTCCTGACACAGAAAATCAGCATTTCCTCATGATGGAGGCATATTTGGCAACTTGTACGAGCAAAACTCACCAAACAACACTCACTGGACAAGTTCTTCACGAAGAAGTAACACCCTGTTCTCCTCTAACATCGCTTGATTTTACATCTATCACTATAACCGATGCAAAAATATTGTAATAAAGGTCTTTTGAAATATGAATTTGATCACTATAGGCGATATATTACTATAGACGATTATAACTATACGCGATAACTGTGTATACTTAGTTATGGCAAATGAAAATGAATTTGAGAAATTGATCACTATATCCGGTATATTACTATAGCCGCCAACCTTATAGGCGATACGGACTGTACTCTCTTCCCCTATTAGAGTAATAATATAATTTTAATGTATACAGTGTGTGTGTGTGTGTGTGTGTGTGTGTGTGTGTGTGTGTGTGTGTGTGTGTGTGTGTGTGTGTGTGTGTGTGTGTGTATGTGTGTGTGTGTACACGTGCATGTGTGTGCCCATGGTATTTGGTATTGGTATTGATTTATTTGAATTCGGTATCTCAACAGTACAATGTACAACTTGGGAAGATCCGAATGACATAGATACATAAACATAAAAGTGGAGTAGGTGCTACAGCTGATCATTTTATCGCAGATTGTGGGACTAAACCAGGGAGTCGTACTCAAACTAGGGAGGTGACACGGCACAGAAATCCGTGTCACAGGGGTTGACTCGCACCCGTGACTAGGCCTCCGCGGAATGTGCCGGCATAATTTCGGGAATTATCGGTGTGATTTTTAAAAACAGGCATTATTGGCAATTTTTGTGGAATAATCGGTAAAATTTGAGCAATGCCCCCCTTTTTTCAATTTTTTTTCCGTTTATAACGCCCTGATTTGTACCAAAAAGCTTGTGATCCTGAAGTTGATCGCCCGGTATTCCAAAAAAGAAAGAAAAAAAAAGCTTCCACCCGAGTTTCACACGAACCGTGATTTTTTTGCCCGTACAAGTGGCAAAAACCCGTACGCGGTACGGTATCTGCAAAAAAAGGGAAGAAAAAAAAGCATTATTTTGAGAATTATTGGTGGAATTACGGGAATAATCGGTCGAAATTTTGAGCAATGCTCAAAGGAATTATCGGTAAAAATACGAGCATATTCCGCGGAGGCCTACCCGTGACCCCTCGTTGTTATTTTTGGAATAGTTCAGTCCAATCTAGTCCGAAAGGTCATACTCGGATCGACTCGCCTTCTGTACTTCACCTCCAAGCGTGCCGCATGGGTGTCTAGTTTTTGAAATTTTTGAGGCAGCACATTTCCTTTTAATACAGCCCATCACACGCCAGTATTCTTTGAAAGACTACGACTCGTACCAGCAATTTTTTTAGCTCCTGCCATGTCCGAACTACTTGATAGCAGTGATGGCAACAGCAGCAGTTATGAGACGGCGTGTAGTGTTGCGGTAACTGTTCAGAACTGTTCAGAGTCGTATCCTAGGTTAACCCGAATACTAAAAATTGACCCAAATTGCACATAACACGAAGCTGGTTTTTGAAAATTGTAAGTCGTGTATCTGCCCCATTTCTTCTTTATGACTTGCACAATACACCAGTCTTCCTAAACAACACATTTATAGCAGGGGTTAAGTACCATATAAGAGAAGTACAGCCAGTGATATTGTCATGTTGAAATACTACAATTTTGACACAAATTACACATAAGTTGACATAACACGAAGCCAGGTTTTGAAAAATGTAAGTCACTCTGCCCCATTTCTTCTTTATGACTTGCACAATGGTCCAGTCTGCCTAAATAACACATTAGCAGGGGTTATGTACCATATTAGAGAAGTACAGCC